AGTATTAAACATTTCTCAGAATTTTGAATCATTGATGACTTAGACAAAGAGACCTAAAACCTTGTTTAAAGTGGCAATCACTTCAGATCCATTGAAAGCTATGCCAACTAATTCAATTCAATCTATGTTGGAATCATATTATACACATACTACAGCAAGCTGTGTCATCAAGAATGTCAATGGGCAAGTTGCATGAATCTATGACCATTCCTAACCCAATCTAGTAGATTATGGGCTTGAGCTTTTATCCCCACCCATGCAAGGACTTAACAATATTGAAGCCAGGCATGCAGGATTACCTACTGACTCTAATGGGTGACTGGGCCTGCTAGTTATATATTATTTGTAGTGTGTCCTCTCAGCTGCTAACCAACTGGTCCAGCCATTTGGACAATCAATATACAGTTTTGGCAGTCATGAATTAGTCATCTTGGACTTGTGAAGAGCACTTGACTTGACAGTTCTTAGTGTTCTCATCCTATGATCAGCAGACCACCCTGGATAGGAGACCAGACAAACTGACCATTATTCTTTGAATCTAGTACATGGCAAATCTGCAGCATAATTGGAGATGTCCAGCTCAACCCAAATGACCATGCTGGACTTTCATTCTCCCATCTGACCATGCTTTATGCTGAACATAATTTGACCAGCAGTAAAAGCATATCCAATAGGTAGAGCCATTTTTATGCACATTGACTATTCAGCATCAGTCATCACTGCTGAATGGAATGCTATTCCCCAGGGCATAGAATAGACAGAAGGAGGATGAGGACAGTGTTGTGGTCAACAAGGGAGGTGACAAACATGTCAAAACATTTTATCCAACCAAGGATAGGAAAACAATTAGTTTTAAGGTGGCAATAAAAGAGTTAAAAAGAATTTTGTCTTAATCAGAATGCCATAAGTTTCAAACAGCAGTCAGATCCATGAACAAGGTTAGAAATGTCCATGTTAATTTCTTCCCCACTCAACCTTGGCATCTCATGAGGTTTCACCTAGCTGAGATTAGGCTGGAAGAGATCATGCCTGGGCCTTGTATAACCTCAACAAGAAGAGATCATGCCTAGGCCTTGTATAACCTCAAGAAGAAGAGATCATGCCTGGGCCTTGTATAACCTCAAGAAGAAGAGATCATGCCTGGGCCTTGTATAACCTCAAGAAGAAGAGATCATGCCTGGGCCTTGTATAACCTCAAGAAGAGATCATGCCAGGGCCTTGTATAACCTCAAGAAGAAGAGATCATGCCTGGGCCTTGTATAACCTCAAGAAGAAAAGATCATGCCTGGGCCTTGTATAACCTCAAGAAGAAGAGATCATGCCTGGGCCTTGTATAACCTCAAGAAGAAGAGATCATGCCTGGGCCTTCTATAACCTCAAGAAGAGATCATGCCTGGGCCTTGTATAACCTCAAGAAGAAGAGATCATGCCTGGGCCTTGTATAACCTCAAGAAGAAGAGATCATGCCTGGGCCTTGTATAACCTCAAGAAGAAGAGATCATGCCAGGGCCTTATATAACCTCAAGAAGAAGAGATCATGCCTGGGCCTTCTATAACCTCAAGAAGAAGAGATCATGCCTGGGCCTTGTATAACCTCAAGAAGAAGAGATCATGCCTGGGCCTTGTATAACCTCAAGAAGAAGAGATCATGCCTGGGCCTCTTATAATCTCAAAAAGAAGAGACACCCTTCTGCTATCTTCCTTTATACCCTTTTGTTTGGTGGTCAAATTGAGGTGAGAAAGCAAGTGTCACAAAAGAGTTGCTCCATCAACTCACCATCCAAGCCCATATCTCAGCATGACCCCATCAGGGAGTGTACCACAGATGCAGTGATCAGTGACATAACAACCACTGGGAATTCTCCACAACAACCACCAACAATAGCAATTTTTTTGTTGCCATGCAAGTTATAGATGGCCATATCTCCATAACCTCTGTAAGCAAGACAGGAGTGGGGAAATAAAACAAGGTGTCTCTCTACCCCCATAACCTTCCACTAACCTAACCATCAATGACATTACTTAACTTCCACACACTTGCAACACACCAGTATATGCCCAACTCTTCCTTTTCCAACAGATATGGATTAATATATCTTCACCTAATTCATTTCAGATGTCTCTGTATCTCATTCCACTACATAATGGAGATTCCAAGCAATCCCACAAAAGCAAACATTTTAGAGAAAGAAATTGCTTTTGAAGTGGACAGTTCAGTTATTCCAAAAACTGGACTTTAAGGGTTTCTATTGCAAACCTTTTCTGGTTTCAAAAACCAACAGAAAATTGAGACATGTCATAGACATGTGGATACTCACTCAGTTTATTACTTCCCCAAAAGTTCAGAAAAGAGATGGCTGTCGGTCCTTCTGTCCGACGTGACATATAGTCTTGACCTGTCCAACATGTCTTTACATATATCTGTTCACTCAGTATTACATAAATATCTTCTATAAGTGAATTGAACAAAGCCTGTCCTTTGAACTTTAATGTCTTAATTCAAGACACAGAAGAGTCAGTTGGCTGGATTTCTCCAGCTTCTTTTTGTGAGACATATCCTTATAAAGATGAGAGCTGAATCTTGTCAGGCCACTGGTAAATGCCCAGACAGTTACTATACCCTGTTTATAATGTAAAAACACTGTGCACAACCTTGTAGCTTTTGTGGACTCACCCTGGAAACTTTGACAGCTTAGGGAAGCCACTGGGATCATCCTTGAATGGATATAAATGCAATATGTTTGGTTGTGCTAGCTTCATATTCAAAGTTCATCCTTTGTCTAGAGCAGTCATAATTCTCTCACAATGTGATGTGGGTAGAGATTGGATACTCAGTCATTTCCATCTAATGTTTGGGTATTATATTTAACAGAGAACAGAAATTTTTATATTTATCTGAAAAGCTAACACAATCACAATACTATCAATTTGTTCCACTCTTCAACACAAAAGTACCAGTAAACATGCATATGTATGTATATATATATATATATATATATATATATATATATATATATATATATATATATATATATAAGGTTTTGCTGAAGTTATCAATATATTACATTTGGATGTAGCAAAGATTAATTTGTGATAAGGTCAGTAGTTTAGAAGAAAAATAATTTACTAAAATATTAAACATGCACTTTAGATTCAGAACTTGTCATGATTGCATATTTTATATGAAACAACTGTAACACAATAAAGCAAAGATTGTACCTACTACAGAAGAAAATAAGCAGACAACTTTGTAGTGAATGCTTAAAATATTATTCATACTTTAAAAAGATTTCAAATAATTCTTTGTATGTTCTTTTAGTCCATATATTTGTGTAAAATCCAAATCACACACTCCATAATCATATAAAAGATGTCGGTACATAATCATGTGTTAGGTGTCTTTCACTTTGAAACACATGACATACTTACAATTATTTGATTATATTTGTTGAAATGCTGACTCTACCTACACTTACGTTGTACAGTATTTGAAAAATTCCATCAGTTTAAAGACATCTGTGACATAATGTTTATAGGGAATTTTACCAATATGGTGCTGGTAACTTGGTGTTTGCTTGAAAATTGAAACTGGTATTGTCTTTATTTAATTATCTCTTTTTTTATACTTTAGAAGAAATTGTTTGATAATGAACAGATATGGCCATCTTTCTTTCATGTCATAGGTTGATTCATGGATTAAAGTGGGTATTAGGTTACAGCTATTACTTAGATCTTATAATTATAATGAAACTTTTGACAGACAAATGAAATTATATACAGCATGCATGTGACAGAACCAGGATCCCAAACAGTTACAACGTTTGACCAATAGACAGTATATATCCTTATTGGGATGAATTATGCATTCTTCATTGTGATTGTAAATAAAATGAGTACTTATTGGCTATAATATGTACTCTCTTCATAGTATAATAAAAACAGCAAGTTTTGAACATAAATTGGATGTAAAAATCTGATGTTAAAATAATGAGTCAATATCTTATCAATCAATGAAAAATAGTGATTTGTTTATTATGTAGTTCACTAAAGATTTTGTTATTAGCATCCAGTCGCACTTTTTTTTTCTTTATTCTTTAATTGAACATAGGTTGTCAGGATTTTACATGCACTCCTACATCACCACCTGAGCAGGTGCTTGGGGCATTACCTTGAGATTATTTTCATTCCTGAGCTTTGCTTGTGTTCTTTAACTTAGACACAACATACACACATTCCCTCACAGATGCAATCACTCACACAAGCACATTTATACACAGACATAATCACTCTACTATATTGTACAAAAGAACCACTCATTTACAAACCCCAAAGTGCTTTACATATTCAAAAAAGTGACTACTGTATTACAATGTCATGCACCACTGGGTACATAATGATGTTGCCGAAAATAAAGATACATGAGGTCTGTTCTACACTAGAATGTAGTATACTAATAAACTTTTAACATCAAAACCGTGTAGCTATATAAAAACAACGTCCCACAGCTTTTGCTCTTTCATATTCATCCTTTAACAAAAGATTAAAAGCAATTATATATGGGTTCTTCATCTATTTGTTGGACATGTCTGTGTGGGTATAAAGGTTAGTGAAACACAAGACAGACACACACATAAATACATATTAATACATATACATTCATAGATGCACATATACACACATGTAGCATTTTTAGTTTCCTTCACAAGATAACTGTCTGGTGACCACTCATGAACTGTTGAACTCTTAGCCAGTGGTTTCTTTCTTAGTATTAGGAGAAAACATACATTTAGGCATTGAATTGAATAAAGAATGCAAGAGTTGCTGCCCTTTATTCAATTTAAAATCTTGAATAATACAAACTTTTAAAAATTAAAAAAATACTTGCTCTAGTTTCTCTGGTCAAAGTCATATGAAATTAGTCATATGAAATTAGTCAAATTTCAGAAATTGTTATACTGTGATACTATATAGTATGAACCAAAGAAAATATATATTGGTCTGCTTCGGTGGCCTAGTGGTTAGAGTATCCACATCATATGGAGGAGGTCATGGGTTCGAATCCTGACTGAGTCATACCAAGGACTTTAAAAAATGATACTAACAGCTGACTTGCTAGATGCTCAGCATCAAGAGGTTAGTGTTAGGACTGGTCGGCCTGGTGTCAGGATAATGTGACTGGGTGGGACATCATGCTACATTACATATCTATGTGCAATATCACTATAAACTGCCACACTGCAGATATCATAGCAATATGAAATGAAAAATTGTTAAAGCTATCTTAAAAATCAAAATCACACACACACACACACACACACACACACACACAGGTATATTGTTTCAGTACTGCCTTGACTAATTTCAGATGACTATGACCATATCATTGTTATACATGTGCCAGTGTACCATATATTAAGAAACCACAGTATCGGTATATGTATATTGTTGTAGTTCTGATATGAGTAATTTCAGACAACTATGACCATATCCATACTATACTATTGTACCTTACAGCAACAAACCACAATAGATGTTAGTTACAAAAGTTAAATTTCTTGTTTAATAAAATGAAGGCTGGGTTGACCTTTTCCCTTGCATTATGGTCTAAATAAATTGTATGTTTTGCTAGCTCAGAAACTAAATGGATGGACATCAAATGGTACAATACAAAGATTGATCAATAACTAATGCAAACCAATGAAGATCTTCATTAATTTATAGGTCTGGAATTATATGCTGGTACTGAATAGGGTCTTCATTTGCAAAATATTGTTATAAATTGAGCAGAAATGTTGAAAAATTGGATGGGGACTTAGGATTCTTGTAGTTGGAAGGACATTGCTCTAGTGAAGTATGAGAAGGAAAAAATAAAACATGTTAGTTACAAGAGTTAAATTTGTTGTTTAATAAAATGAAGGCTGGGTTGACTTATTTTCTTGCATTATGGTCTAAATAAATTGTATGTTTTGCTAGCTCAGAAACTAAATGGATGGACATCAAATGGTACAAAACTATTTTGTGTCTTTCAAACTAGATTGAAATACATATTTTGCCACCATGAAATAATAATACTGAAGTGCAAAGACAATAATAGTACAAATTAAATTTCATTATGAGGCAAGTATTTATTTTAAGATTAGATTGAAGACATTTGATTAGTCATATTTTTTCAATCACTGGATCCTGGTCATAAATTTAAGTTTCAACTTCAGTTTTGTTGGTGAAATCTTGACCATGATTTAACAAAAATAGTCTTCTCAGTTTGATCTGACAATTATTGTTTTTTACTCTTACACAGAACATTCACTAGTAATTCACAAGTGTCAATTCAAAATTACAGCCAGTTACATCAATTGAATCTTGAAAAATCTTAATAAGCAAGCAGTGTCATGTAAACTTTTAATAGTCACATGCTATTTAATTCCTAGTTTTATCATCCACATTCTCTATTCATAATTTGATCCACTCCATTTCTTAAAATAACTATTTCCATGGCTTGTTCAACATGGTCAAACAGCAATAGACACATTTTCAAATAAACATTATTACATTATGACTTCCGATTCTAAATTGTATTGCCTTTTCTTTTAAAATGTTGATTCCTAATTTTGATTCATATTAATCAGTCAAAATGTTTCTTGCATATGGATGGAATTGTATATTGTAGATGTATTTATATTTGATGCATGCATTAACTTCTGGATGAAAGATAATTGATAATTTCATGCGATTCAATTTCAATGAATTGAAAAATTATTATCTTTCATTACTTTTCTTTGTAGTAAATAGAATGAAAAAAAAACTTGGCAATGTCATTTTAGTAAATGTTTGTCTTTCTAAATTTCTTATACTTTTTGTTACCAATCAAGTTTTGTTGACTGATATTTTGATAATTTTAACCTACAGCCCGATGGTAAATATAAGTTAAATTCGTTGGTCCCAGATAAAGTCAGTTTTCTCAGAGTTCTGCTGTACTTAAAGATCTTGTTGCATTTTTTCATGAATTTTTAAACCTTTTTACACATCTCCAGAAACGACTTGCTATGTATGCATAAAACACATTGGAGATTTTAATAAATTTGGGAAATAAAGATGTAGAAGAAACTAAAAACAGGAATACTTTGCATATTTTTTTCTTCTTCATTTGCAAATTAGGGGACATAGGCGTCACATTTCCAGCAGCAATTATGATTGTTTTTTGGAACAAAGGTATCCCATTTCTAGTAGTAATTATAATGGTTTTTAATGGACATAGGTAACACATTTCCAGTAGCAGTTATTATGGTCTTGATGAGACAGACACAACATTTCCAGTATTATAATGGTTTTGATGGGATGGGTATCATATTTCCAGTAGCAATTACAATGGATTTGATGGGACAGGTATCACATTTCAAGTAGCAATTATAATGGTTTTGTTGGGACAGGTATCACATTTCAAGTAGCAATTATAATGGTTTTGTTGGGACAGGTATCACATTTCCAGTAGCAATTACAATGTTTTTGATGGGACAGGTATCACATTTCCAGTAGCCATTATAGGTGGCACTCTACAGTGACATTTTACATAAAACTTTAAAGACAAAGAATTTCTCCAGGTTTCCTCACTGGAAATACCAGCTATTTAAAAAAGACCTTGTATATTGTTCAAAGAACCTTTAATTCCCTTAATTTTGGTGTATGATTGATGATTAATATAGTTATAGATTATACAGCTTGGCCTTACTCCAGATGTGCACCTTCCAAAAACTGCTAGCTTCATTTGGTCACTTTTACTTCCTGAACTTAAGAGGTAAATTGTTAAAAAGAAAGGATCCAATAATTTGGTAATTCATTCATTGCACTTTCAGAAGCTAGTAGTATCTTGTCTGGCAAAATTGATTTTCTCTATTTTAATATCTGCTAAGGATAGTGTACTTTAAAATTCAGGCTGATTTTTTTAGTAGTGTGCTTAGATGATTTACAAATAATACAAGTAAATTTACACAATTTCCAAAGAAATGTCAGCCACACCTTACATTGTCACTCTCTCAAAAGAACATACCTGGTGAGCACCCCCATAATTGGTTTAGAAAATATTGGTTATCATATATGTTAGTCATCTGTGTTAAATTTAAACAAGTTTGACAATAGGGTGTGGTGTATGTCATAGTATGATGAGCAGGTGAGACACCAAATTCTGTGGAAAGCTTGTTTAGAAGAACTAAAGCCTGCAAAGACATATGGTTGGTGTGTCTGTGTTAATTATAAACTATTTTCTTATGCATAATAACATTCAATCATGGAAGAAATAAGTGCGAATTTGATTTTGGTTTGCATCAATATGAAATTGAATAATCCTAGTACAAAATAATGTACATCCATTTTAATATTGTCATCACATCATCTTAGTATATGAAATAGCACAGAACAGTTTAATTAAGTCTGCAAGATATGCAGCGTTTGGACTTGCTTTTTTATCTGTAATTTTAGACTACTTGTGGAGCTGCTTATTAAAGAATACAAAAAATGCATCAAATTGACCAGTTTTGCCAGACAGACTGTGAAATGAGACCCAGGAGTGTTCCCTAATAATACTTGGAACAAATAAAATTTGTTCCTACAAGGAACTCTTGTGTGATTAACTATGGTAGTGGAAGGACATATTTTCTGTTTTCATTTACTTCGACACTTTGCATCAGTTCATTTTGCATCACAGTCAAAATGTTTATAGTGGTTATTTTTATTTACCAAAATGGCTAGTTATATTTTAATTCAAATCGGAATATTATTTACCTGTATATAAAGGTATCCTGCCTATGTAGCAAAGCAGTTTCAAGCACAGATGCCGACTTATGGAAAGGGCCAATAAATGTTTTGCAAACTGGCAGGTGTGTGTAAGATACAGCTATATGGAAGGGTGATAAAAAGATATCAAGAACAATTACATGATTGTATACATATATTTCAAAAATACAATCTGGTGATAACAATCTAGGCAGGTTGTTGTGTGAAACAACAAATAAACTTGTGAACTGAGGTTAAAAATAGATAACTATTTAAAACAAGCAGTCATTAATATCTGACAAATATAGTGGCTTGTTACTCAGAACAATATTTGGCTCAGAGAATATTGCAAAACATAATGTGAACCATGTGTTCTGGGGGTGTTTATTAAAAAGATATGTCGATGTAATGTATCATATATTGGAACATAAAAAACTTTTAAAAAAATGAACATGAATTTTGCACAGCTTTATAAAACTGGTTATCATGTACTAATGCAAAATGTACATTGCAACTAAAAACCAAATCCAGAATGAAAGTATTTAAACCTTTCACATTCTATCAAGTAAAAGTTGATTTTACTTGCCTATTTATGTTAACATTGGAGATTGTTTGAAAAATCAAGAGATACATAGCCATTAAAATTGCCACCTGAATTTTATGCTGGTGTTGGGAGTTGTTTTTATAGAAACATTTCACAACAAGACCTTTCTATACAATAAAGACAATTTATTCTTAATATTTTACTTATTCAAAAGAAAAACCCTTTGTTTCTTTTTTTTTAAATATCTGTCAAAATTTGGGCAGGACATGAAAGTTACTTGGGACTTTCCTTAAAAGAGTATTAACCTAAACTTAAGTCTTGACTCCAGCAGACTTACTGAAGTCTGTCAATTTAAATGTCCTTCAGCTAGAGCTAAGCTTTTTGAAATTTGGTCCAAGATGTCAATTATTTGTTATATAGATTGGTAAAGTTTTGTGTTCTGTATTCTGTATTTAATTTTATGTCTGAAAAAACTCAACAGGTTGTAAATATCTATTTAAGTGACATTTTATTTCTCATATTTCCAAATGTTTCTTAATAACATGCCATGTAGAAGATATCTACAGTTATGGTTATAACTCAAAATAGAAAAATGGCAAAATAAACATAATGCAAGATAGTATTTGGAAACTAAATCTCATCTACAAAAAAATTGCATTTAAAAGCAATGACTATAGAAACATTAATTATAAAATATGTCTTATTTTAATCAACAAAATATTAAGCATCTGTTATACCATATATTTTTTAAAAAAACATGGGA